TGTTATCGTAGTTAACTGCAAATATTAAACTTTAAAAGAGGCTGTGAAAGAAACATTTTAAGGAAAGAACCAGTGCTAACAACAAAGGAATTTATAGCAGGAGAACAAAAGCAATATAAGAGAACTGGAACTGGGATTCTCGATTTAATGAAAGAAATAGCGCAGAAGATGTTAAACAAAGACACAAGAGATTATTATTAGCAAGTAAAAAAGGAATGGCTCAACGAGAAGTGTGCAGAGTACGAAAAACTACAGAATACGGACATACCAGACAAAATAAAATAACATAACTAAAAAAGGCAAGATTCATAAAATCTTTTTTAAAAAAAAAAAAAGTAAGAATCAAAATAGATGAAGATTATTACAAAAACGCAACGAAAACATTGAAAAGCTCTTCCATGAAACAGAAAACAAAAACCTGTTTTACAGAAGGATTCGTACTAATTTGAGGTTAGGTCAGCACTGACCAATATGAAGAGAGACAAAGCATAAAGACTAAATAAGAGAAAATGATTTCGGTATTTGTCAGTTCACCGAAATGATAAATAGAATATACGACAACGGTGAAATACTGAAAGACTTCAATTTATCAAGCTTCATAGTCCTGCCAAATACAGGGTCCAATGTATATGAACTGCATTGGACAATACTTGATAAGGCACATAACTAAACTTCTCATAAGGAGTCTAATGAAAAGAGGCTCGTAGCCGGATTAGACCGAAAATAGAACAAGAACGGTGTAATTTGTTCCGGAAACAATAAATTCTGTCAAATACAAACAGGTTCATACCAATGTTTCATACATTACGCAAAGGTATTTGATAGGGTACGGTAGGGTAAATCTTAAATCTGCTTAAAATATTTTAAAAGCTGATTTACACTGGGAAAGTTATTTGCGTAATCCACAATTTTTAACAGAAATAAACAACTTGCATATGGATTAAAAGAAAAACGAGTTCAATGAATACACAAAAAATAGAAAGAGGAGAATGGCAATGCAAGGTTGCATTTTCTCACCAGATTTATTTAACTTTTACAAAGAGTCGATCCAAAGAGAACTATAAGTCCTACCCAGATTTATTATTGGTGGGTATAACTTTAACAACGTAAGATAGGCAGATGGCGCTATGCTGTTTTTGTTTTTTGTTTTTTTGCAGAGTTAAAAAGAAAACTGAAAGAACGATTGTAAATATTAATAAAACAAGTAAAAAGCATTAAACATAACTTTTCAGACAAAATGCATGGTTGTTAGCAAAATATACAACCCAAGGTTTGAACTACATATTGGGGATGTCAAAATAAAGCAAGTGCAGAAATCAAGCTATCTGGGTAATGCAGTTGCAAACGATGGAATATGTGAATCAGAAATACGAAGGCGAATAGGAATAGCGAAAGTTGATTTAAAAAATTAAGCAAAGTATTAAGACAGAATAAAACATCTTTAGAAATAAATGAATGTAATATCTAATTTTCTATATGGAAGTAAATGAATGAACTTCATCATTTACTTACAAATTTGGCAATATATGAGTGCTGGGTATAACATAAATCAGCTGTGTGGCAAATTTTTTATTTGTTTTAATCCTATATCGTAACGGCTGCTAGTCTTAAATGTCCTTTCTTTCATATTTCCATTAACAGCATTTCTGGCTTCACGCAATCTTTGTTATCGCTATTGCATTCTCTTCTGAAAGCACTTTCAGCTGAAAACTTTTGCACGTTGTTTTATTTTTATCACTTATTTATTTACAGCATATTTACCTCCTGATGAGTGGGCCGGACGATTGCAAAAAGATTCGTCTAAGAAACTCTGGAGTCGGAGTGCTGAATATAACATCAATCAGCTAAGTGACAAATTTTATATTTGTATTATTCCTAATATATATATATATATATATATATATATATGCCATCTTTTGGGTAAAAATATATTTATTCCTTTTCACTAAGTCTTCGGTTTCGCAAGTTCCTTTTTTCTGACTGACTCGCTCAAAAGTGTTGCCACCGATTTTCTGGCACACATTCTCTTTAATCCGAACTAAATTAAAAGTAAGCATTTGTATTCCTCGTTGCTCTTGTAATTAAAGCATTAGTTTCTACCTAAAGTACGCGTTTCTTTTAACCGGATTTATTTAATCTATACGAGACTATCCCAAGAGTACTGAAAGACTTAATAGGATTTATCATCTACGGTCAGAATCTTAACATCATAAGCTATGTGGATGGCACTGAAGGAAATGTTAAACAAAGTAATAAAAGAAAGCAAGGACTAACTATTAACTCTAAGAATACAGAATGTATGGTCGTCAGCAGAACATGCAGCACAAGTTCTGAACCACATACTAGAAACTTCAAAAGCAAGTAGATATAGAAATTTAACTATATGGGTAGTGTAGTGACGGACGATGGAAAATGTGACACAGAAATCCGAAGTCGAATAGATATAACGAAAGATGACTTTCAAAAATCATTTAGCCAACCCAGTACAGCTGTGTTTTTGTACCATAGCTTCGGCACTTGTGACCAATAGTGTTACTGATGAACCGTTGCAATTCAATTTTAGACTAGTGCGGAGGCAACGCTGACAGTATAAAATATTTAACACGACATTGATAAGAAATATGAAAACAAAAAGAAGTAAAGAAAAGACTACTGAACAGATATGTAATATCTAATCTCTTGCGAGTGAATGTTCGACAACCCGCTCGCGAGAGAGAGAGAAAAAAAAGAGTCGAGAATCGGCAAAAATGTTAATCTACCGACAATTGTCATGAATAGAGCATGTGAATAATGAGCAAGTTTTAAGAATAAGGACTAGCAATCAGAAAAAGGCAGGGAAAGTTCGAGGGGCATATAACGAGGAAAGAAGCCCTGGAAAATTAAACACTCACAAGACGTAGGCGCTAAAAGGAGGAGGAAAGTATGTACTTGACGAATTTGAGTGAATGGACGACAAAATGAGAATGGAATTAAGGAGGCAAGAGTTATTTCAAGTAACAAAAGATAAGCATCAGATGATAAGTTAAATGTGTATATATATATATATATATATATAAATTGATATTGATTTGGAATTAGGACCATAGTTTGCATATATATATATATATATATATATATATATATATATATATATAAATAAATTATGTAAAAAAAAATGTCATTCCAATGTTCAATTTTTAGTATCACAAATATTCTCTTTTATATTTTGTTATTTCATGAGAAACTTTAAAACATTGGGTGTGTGCAAAAGTTGTCCGGGCGCTGTTTTGAAAATTAGAAACTGGATACACGATTTCCACTCTGGAAACATTTAAGCATCCCTATATATTTGAAGGAAGAATGAAGAGCCTTAAGTTGGAGAGAGAGAGAGCTCTGATTTCAGAAATAAATCCTCTTTTCGAGTTTTATTCCACTGAGGAAACAATAGAATTTGACAAGCTTGATAAATTTCAGTGTAAACATTAAAAAAAAAAAACGAGAGATAAAAAAAAAAAGTATTTAAGAATCAATAAGGAATTTAATACCCACGTCTTTTAATAACATATTACACAATTTCTTTCATTTCAAGCCCAGAACTAAATCCAGATTATTTTCTTTTTTAAATTGTTAATATTAAATGATTTTGAATTTAAGACGAAAGCTTTAATTTCTGGATTGTTCTTTTTTCTCTTTTTTCTTTTTTCTAGTTGATGCAATAAGTTAATGATGCTTCTTTGTCTATCAGGTTCTTTTCACGTCCAATACTGATTAAATGCGTTATACCATCAGCATTGCCTCTGCGTCAATATAAAAGTGCACTGAAAGAATTTCCTCGGTAACAATAAGGATGATAAGTAATGAGGCTATGCTACAAAAGACACTACGGTTAATCATTATGAAATGGACAAAGTCCGACAATTATTTTAAGATATTTTTTTATCTTTACACATTCTTTTTATAGATACAAATATTTAAGTAAATGCTCTGTTTTATAATAAACAGTATTAAACAACATTTACCGGCCTGAATGTTCGAAAACTTTTCATAGAAAATATTCGTCCTCCGACAGGATTCGAACCTGTATCCTCTACGGAACCGTCATATAGCCTGACTTGCTTTTACCGATTTCGCCACAGAGGAGCGTTCGGTTAGCAAGGTCAAGTTTTTAAACTACAATTTTCCATGATCTTCTCACGATACATTCATATCTGCTCGATGCGTATACAAGTGTAAACAAATGACGTCACACATTATGAAATAGACAAATTCCGACAATTATTTTAAGACATTTTTATGTTTATACATTCTTTTTTTATAGATACAAATATTTAAGTAAATGCTCTGTTTATAATAAACAGTATTAACAACATTTACCGGCCTGAATGTCCCAGAAATTGTCATATATGACGGTTCCGTATAGGATACAGGTTCGAATCCTGTCGGAGGAAGAATATTTTCTGTGAAGATTTTTCGGACATTCAGGCTGGTAAATGTTGTTTAATACTGTTTATTATAAAACAGAGCATTTACTTAAATATTTGTATCTATAAAAAAGAATGTATAAACATAAAAATATCTTAAAACAACCGTTAATGTTAATATTAGCTGTTTTCTTATGGCCGAACAATCAATGCTACCAACATTTCAAATTTATAAAATCTTTTTTATTAAAACTGTTCTTAAGGAAAATAGGTTTCTCAGGTCCGCTGTTATTGCTCTTTCCAGTAATGATGGGGGCTCCTTCCTGACCCTTTGTTTTACTTGATTTGATTTGTTTTCTTCCGTTTATCAACCTATACCAGGAAATATTTTTAGATTGTAAGATTCAAAAAAAATAATAATGGTTTTAGTGATACGTGACTTACTAAATAACCTATAGCTGGTGGGAAGAGATGGATTCATGTCTTTCCCGAGGTTATCTTGCGCGTAAGTGGATATAACGAACCCAAGGAGAATTAGAACTCGGGCTCCCCAATTAGCAATTCCGGGCCATTATCTATTACACTACCCTTCAATCCAAGCTTACAGCACCTTGTATTCCAAATCAGTCGCCCATCTAGATACTGACCAGGCTCGACGTTGCTTAACTTCGGTGATCCTACGGGAACCGGCATTTCAAAGTGATGCGGCCGTCAATATCTTATGTCATTATTTTTTTCTTCGAGTTGCATATGCTATTCATTTTAGTCGTTACTGCTGTAGGAATTCTTCACTTAATTTCTTTTCTGTTTTGATACAATTCTTTGTGATTCTGTAGTGCCATTCTACAAGGTACGAAAAAGGATGGTCCTTGCTATGACCTACAAGCTCATTTCGCTTGAAACCATTTTCATGGTTCTATGCAGATCTATGGGTTAGTGTGAATGATATAAATATGGCGGTTTGGTTAAACTGTTAGGATAGGGTACTATAGCCTTCTAAATACCCTCTTACTAATTGAAATAGTTTCTGACCAACGGAGAAGTAAAACCTAACTGAAAATATAAAAGAATTCACTGAAAATTACTTTCATCTTCCGTGGACTCAACTACAGTCAGTGAGGAAAATAAATGACATGAAATGAAAGCACAAAATCTCTCATGCAATCTCCGTTGCAGAATCAAACCAGAGAAAAATAAAATACGGAGCTTCTGTCGGCTGCTAGACATTCTCCTATACCTAATATGGGAACGCATGCCTCTTTTGTATCGGCCCCACTTACTACCTGTGTGCCCGCAGCAAACGTGAAAACACTCCTAAATCTTCGTTCACAAAACCAAACCAAGCCAAGCCAAGATTCTTTTCACTAACAGAAACGAAGAAAAAGAGAATCGTTTTAAAACGTATTGATGCCGGTTGTGTCGCAAAGAACGAATTCGTTAACGCATCGGTTGTATGACTGAAGCAAAAGATAGATAGATAAATTCATTGAATTTTTACAATGCCTATCAAAGTGTTTTAAAACATCAAACCCTCTTCGCTTAATAAAGATAAGCAATCCCCCCTCCACGGAATCAATAACAATCAGCTTGTCTTTTGATATTCGAGAGTGCTGTCAACAAAAATCGACAATGGTGGAGAGGGGAATTATTTCATACAAAACTACAGTATAGAGATTTTCTTGTGTAGTTTTGTATAATGATGGGATATATAGAAAGTAAAATCCTACACTATTGGAACTACTGTCCTCATCCTTGTTGCCATGTTTATCACAACGTGCCATGTGTCCTTAAGAATAAAGGTGTCGGTTAGATCTAGTGACAGGACCCAAAGAGTTGTAAGTTGAATACCCGGTTAAGGCAGTGGAGAACTTGGAGAAGTGAATTAACAGGAGATGACTCATAACTGACATCCATTAGACATGGCACGTGGAACTAGAACAGTCTACCCCAGCGAGCGAAATAAATGGTTCAGTTCGACATTCCAACCACCTGAAGAAGGCCGGAGCGTACACCGGCCGAAACGTTGTGTAAGGTAAATAGTGTACATAATACCTCATCTCAGAAATATAGACAGATACTGGAGGATCGGATAAATATGGCAACAAAGATGAGGACAATAACCCAAATAAAGTAAATAGTGTACATAATACCTCATCTCAGAAATATAGACAGATAATAAGATCCTACTTAAAAGGAAGCATTCCGTAGGTTTTGAGATTTTTTCAGAAGAATCATATATTCAATTTTATTTTTTTATTTTTTTTTATGTTTTTTTATTTTTATTTTTATTTTTTAATTTAAAACATTAATCTTCTTTACCCCGACTTTTTTTATAAAATCATTTCACCCCAAGCAAGGTGTTAATGCCACTAATTTGCAAGCGATAACTGGAAGTGCACGAGAATGAGAAGACTTTAGTGAAAAGATACCACAAGAAAAGAGCAGATTTCAAGAAGACATAAGATTGTGATTGACGTTACGTTTAAATTTTTGAAAGTTGTCGGTGGCAGCGAAATAAGAAATCAGAAGAGTTCCACCGATGAGAAGAAATCAGAAGAGAGTTCCACCGATGAGAAGTGCTAAAAAAAAAAGAATTTATAATAGAACATACGGTTATATCTAGCTATTTCAACAGTAAAATGTGCCAGTAGCCAATCTCGTTGTAAGCTTAAATTCATAAGGTACCAAAATGGTGAGGTCTCTTTTTGTAGTACTACTCCAGCCATTTCTTTAATGTCTCCTCGTAGCCCCTCAAATTGAAGGTGTCCAGAGAAAAGCCTCTTTCCTCTCCAGCAAGTCCTCAAAACGTTAATCCATACAATAATATTGATAATTTCAGATGTTTCATGATAATCTCGGCAACAACGCTGCTGAAACTTATGAAATGATCAAGATTGGTTACATTAAATTGTTACATCCTCGTTACCACAAGTTTGTTACTTCTCGGTCTGTAATGAATTTGTCATTATTAGGTTTTCATGCTATTCAATGGATAAAATTAGGGATAATGATAGTTTGGAGGGGCTTCTTAAGTACTAAAACTTTTATATATTTCTTCCTTCAAAATTGGGAGGTAGCGTCTAATGCATCGGAGCGTCCAATAAGCAGTGAAATACGGTAACAATAGAAATATTGATGTTAATGAAAAAAGAAAAATAGAAGATAATAAAAAATGTCTCTAAATAGTGTATGTGTTTCTGTGTAATAGAGCGAGAGTTTCGGGAGCCCAACCACAAACGATGGCATCTCCTATATGCAAAAATGGTGAAGAATTTTCACGCACCCACTTCCAGGCCTATTGAATCAATTATTCAAGCGAAGGAAAGCCACACGAACAATGAGCATCAGTGTATTTAGAAAAAGAAAAAAAAACACCAGAATAATTTGCACGTATGCCCAAAAAGTGCTCAATGGGACGAGATCGATTCGACCTCGGTAGTCTTCTCAACAATACCGGGTTATTAAAATCCTCTTACCAGAGCATATATATACACGTTGTAAAACACGCGAAGTGCTTGCTAAAGAGCCACACCGGAAAGAGACCTCAATGCCAAAATGGCGGAGCATTATATTAAATCATATCTTCCTGATTTATTCTTTCTCCTTCTCGACAATACCGAGTTATTAGAGTCCCCGTACAATACAATATTGTAAGACAAACGAAGTAAATCCCTAAAGAGTTAGCTTTCGGTCGAGGTCGAAATGTTTTCATTCCATTTTCATTACAGGCATTTTTTTTTTGTTGTTGTTTTTAAACACGTTATCTCGCTTGCTTTATGTGAAATAACCGAAAAATTTTGCACAGCCATTTAGAAGTGACGCCAGCTCGCATCTCCCCGCTCATTCCACTCCTGCTACAAAATAAAATGACAACCCCCCCCCCCCCCACTGGCAATTATTAGAAATTTACAATATTTTTACTTTACACAATATATTTTTGTTTTTGTACTGTATATGTTTGGGTGCTTGGAAATGTTGAAATATATTATAGTCTAACGTTCACTCCAGAAAATACCAGGGGCCTGAATTGAATTTAATATCAATCAGGAACCTCGATCTAAAAAAAATGATCTGTGGTGACTCCATTATGTACTTAAGCAATACCAAAGTAAGTTTTGTATTGTGTCACATCAGAGCATCAAAACAGCTAATTTCTTCAGAGGTAACCACAAAGCCACCAAGTGCAGAATCGGGCCTCAAAATACGCTGGTGAATGCAACAACATAAAAAAAGAATTGAATCCAGTTGAATTTGGGATATAAACCTACAAGAAAATAGAATAACAGAAAGTTATATAAAAGCCGCACTTAAAAGGTCGGGTAAGGAAGGTTTTCTCACAACCTTCTGAAAAGCTCTAACATTTGAAAAAAGACCCGAAACCCCATGCCCTTGATTTGGTTGGCATTAATTTCACGGAGTACAGAAGTGAATAGACAATTACATTCCGTATGAAAAAATAGTCTCATGTTCATATGAGATATTATTAACATAATATTACAATATTAACGTCAAAGATATTGTTGACTGTCCTTTCTCAACGGATTGCTCAGTGCCACTATATCTGATTTGAATTTATTTGCTTTTTTGCTTACATTTCTCACAAAAGAAGCTAATTATTTATGAAAATCACGCATAATCCTGTATTAACCGTGATTTGATATCCACTCAACCTTGGTTCACCTTAAATTAAAATAAATAAAAAAATACCAAGGCTTTCAAAGAATACATGAACAACTGATTATTTTGTCTTAAATTTTTTCCTGATTAATGATATTTTTTTTTATTTTACTAATGGGCAAACATTTAAAATTAAATAAATTGTTTGGCAACAAGATTCAGGAGTTAACTTAAGTATATTTTGAAAAAGAATCAAATTGCAATTTTAACCTTTTAAATAGTTTGAGGTTCAGATAAATGAAACCAGATTATGTATTTTGTTAGCCTCTAAACTCCTGAAAGTTGCAAGATTTAGAAAAGAAAGTGAATGTTTTTGTGCCAGAAAATGGCGTATATATATATATATATATATATATATATATATATAAAAAAGAAAAAATGTTTGCTAATTCAATGTTTATTTTTTTTTTTAAAAGATCAAATCTTGAATTGTTATAAGAGTTTTAAGATAAAAGAAACAGCACAATATCTGAGATATTTTGTTTTGAAACGAAAAAAGCAACTTATTTTAGTTTATTCAAAGAACAGTAATTTCAACTGTTTTAAAAAACAGGTTAGAATTATGGTTAGAAGCTGGTTTTGAATGATTATCTACAACTTTCAGATAATGGCCAAGCTCAATGTTAATTTTCTTCTGGTATGAATCGAATCAAATCAAAGTTCCTGTTGGTATGAATCAAATAAATCTTAGTAAATAACAAAAAATTTGAGGTACAAAATTTTACATTGCTGGAAGAAACAAGTACATAACAAAATGAAGGCTTTTTACGTCTTTTTATTTGATACAATTTCATATACTCACAATTGAACACAGTTTATCTTATACATATTTAATGGCAGTTTTCAGGATCACATGACCTCATTTCAAATTCAAGATGGTTTCCAAAAAGCGGATATTTTAAGCAAACATCTATCACTGATGCTTAATTTATAGTTTTTATAATCGATATAATATTTGTTTATGCAAAAAAAAAAAACAGTGATAATTTATATAAAAAGCTGAATTTTATTTATCTGTACTTTAGGTCAATTTTC